ATCTCTACTTTCAAGATTAGGCTTCAAACTTTCCTTTTTGCTAAAGCATATAGTTAGGGCTGGACCAGGTGACCCTGAATCCTCCCTTAGTTATGCTACAATAGACGTAGGCTGCCGGGGATTCCCATGATGCATTGAGTTTTTCCTTTCCAGTCACCTTGTCACTCTGTCAGTGCGCCCCAGGGCAGCTGTGGCTACAATGTAGCTTGCTATCGCCAGTGTGTGAATGTGTGTGTGAATGGGTGGATGACTGAATGTAGTGTGAAGCGCTTTGGGGTCCTATGGACTAGAAAAGCGCTATACAAATGCAGGTCATTTACCATTTACCATTTACCTTTCTCACTCACTATGTGTTAACAGACCTCTCTGCACTGACTCATATCTGTTATTAATCTCTGTCTCTCTTCCACAGCATGTCTTTATCCTGTCTTCCTTCTCTCACCCAACCAATCACAGACAGAGTCAAAGGGCCAAACCGGGAGCTGTGTGGTACCGAACAGTCGGCCCACCTGAAGCTCACAACTAATGGAACTCAAAGATCTCCACAGCCACACGTCTTTCTCAAAGCATTCCTCAGTTACGAGCTCCAATTTTCCCATTTCAGGAGTGTGAGTTTTCAGTCTATTGGTCATTACCTTCATTGATGTTTCTGGTTAAGGAGAGCATCCCATGTACCATTACTAAGAACACACTGCCACCATATTCCAGCACCTATCTAATCTCCAGGTGAGAAAGTCTTTCAAAAGTGATTAATTACAAACTTAGTTTAAAAACTGTCTCTTGTTTACATTAGTGGATTTGAAACTGAGGCAATCAGCAACCCGTCCATCTAAAGCCACCCAAACACTGGGCTGCCACTGGCCAATCAAAGCACTCCATTCTCAAATTTCAGACAGTCATTGTCAAGTACTGAAGAAATGAATACATTGTTAACCAGGCTCAATGTGCAGCAGTGTATTTTACAAGCAGCTTCCCCCTCCACATCACTAAATATATGCATCATATCTATTTTTGACTAAATGAGTGGCAAACTGCAAGGAACACAGGAGGTGGGCACAAAGTCAGACACAGGAATGTGATGGAAGATCTGTTCACTGAGCCTCTATTGCCACCTTCTATTTCTATGGTACATACTACTGAAATGTTAGAAGCATTGTCATGTTCAAGCTGCTACGCATTGTGCTCTATACTGCCACATCAGGGTTTGGCCTTCCTCTCAGTCATACAACCCTCTGTGTTTCTGATCCATGTGGGTCTTCGTAGTCACCAAAGTCTTTAAGCTTCATATTACTCTTACAGTCAATACACTGACTACAACAAACAACTAAAATCTAGCTTAAAATCTATATCCTAGATTTTGGCATTCGGCACTATGGGATAATAGGTGTTATTTGCTTTAGCTATAGGTAGTTAGGTTGTAGCTTGTTATTGTCTTTACATCATTATTAAAATAGTTAAAAAAACAGCCAACATTAAGAGAAACACAATAAAGCAACCCAAACGTATCATTCAGTATGAAACTAACCCACTTCTACACATGTAAAGAGCAGTTAGGAGGTTAGACTGAGCTTCAGTGAGTCAGAAGGTTAGCACCACGTTACACCCTTAGGAGGTGAACAGGAAACCCGAGCTGTCCTTATAGGAAGAGGAAACTCACCACCGTGGGGCTCAGAGGCATTGTAAGATGTGTCATTGTATGGCTCCTCTAGAAACAAGAGGCACACACAGTGGCACATCAATCTGCATAAAAACACTCACACAACCTGACAACAATGTTCAATGTAACAATGTTCAGTGTAACAATGTTCAGTGTAAAAATGTTCAGTGTAACAATGTTCAGTGTAACAATGTTCAATGTAACA